CAAATTTCTCTATGAATGGCATGATCTTCTAACAAAAAGCAATGCTGTTACTGAGTTTATTATAAAATATGGGAATTTTGAGTAGTTTTCTGTACTGCAACTTTTATTTTACAAGTTTAATAGAGTTCTAAATCCTTCGTAATTTTGCTACCATGATAAATCAGTGAGCTTTATCATCCTTATTTCAGTAAAGTGGGTAGCACCCAGTAATGTATGAAAAACAGCTTTGCAGATTTTATGCGATTCTTGTTTTAATAATGCTGGACTCTCTACTGCACCGCTTTGTATGTTGATTCTCTGTGGTGAAGTGTGGAAGAATGGCTAGAAGAACAAGGACACATTGACATGAGAGAGTTATGCTAAGGCCTGACGCCATCTTACTAGGCCCGGCAAGCAAGGACACTGTGCCCTTGGAGCAGCAAGTCACAACAACAGGATATGGAGGATTAGGAAAAGAGAAAGCAAAATCAGCATAAGAAGGAACCAGGTGCTGATGTAACCCTTGAAGCTCGACCTATCAGAGTGTAACAAATTCTAAGTACTAGCCAATAGGATAGCGACATTCGTGAATACTAACAAGAAATACTAATAAAAGTTTAGCAAATCTAACAATAAACGAAGCTCTTTTATCAATCATATTGATTGTGTGAGTCTTCCCTCCGGGCCACGAGAAGCAAGCAGCGACAACCAGTCATATCTTTATCTTCCCTGTGAAACCATCCAGTAAATAAATAGACTTTCTATGAGCTCTAGATTCATAGATTGTTAAGGGTTTGGAATAGACCTTATGGATCATCTAGTCCCAACCCCCTGCCCTGGGTAGGGACACCTCCCACCAGAGCAGGTTGCTCAAGGTTTGATCCAACCATCTTATCCCATAAGCCACCACTGAGGGTGAAGACGGAGCTTTCAGTGACTTCGTCCCCCCACCAGGTACAAGCAGAAACCCAGTTTTCAACCTCTGGAAAACTAGAATAACATAAAATTCTAGTTGAAAGTCCCTGATGCTTTTCCCAAAGCTCCTCAGACATATACCAGTGTGGCCCTGGGGCTGGGAGTGACTTGTGCAGCTCCAGCTGTGTTTTGTGAGCTCTCACCACCTCTCATCTCCCACCCCAGCAGCTGAGGGATGAAGGCTGCAGGGAAGCTGTGCTCCTGGTTGGAAGCACTGTTTGGCTGCCTAGGCTGGACTTCTGGGAAGCAGAGCAAAAGAAACAGACAAGAGCACTCAGGTGGAAGATTTTCACTCACAGGAAACATGCAACATCTCCTCAGAGGAGTGATCAAGGCCAAGCTGTAGGCTCTAGTGAGTGCAGCAGGTATGGAGATGTGTTTTATAGATGCAGAACATTCAGTCTCTCTCATTAGCCTGACAATAAACACCCAACATTTAAACACATCACTGAAGTTAAGGGCCATTTGTGGTGCATTAACATTCACTTCCTTCTCTGTGCTGCACACTGGGCAGGGAAGAAGCAGGTTTACCCCCCACATAAAGTTAATCTTGGTGCATTTTAAAGACAGACACTCATTAAGGTGAATCATATGTTAATCATTCTTACAAACCTGCCCAAAATACAGCCTAGATTTTCCATCCTTGCTCATGGCTGTTTGCTCACTGCTAAAAAAACAAGCTTTCTCTCAAGGCTGTAACACATCATAACCCACCAAGCACCCAGTGAAAACCAATGAACTGTGACATTATGGTTCTGGAAAACCCTCGTGGTGCTAGGAAGGGCTGGAGGTCTCCAAAGTCCCTCCTGTCTTTTGTTCTTAAACATGGAATTTCCAACCTCATAATTCACAAATTTCCTCCTGAAGGCATTTTATTGCAAGATTTTTATAGAAGCTTAGAGCAACTGCAAACAACATCCCACACTGATCTCTGGTCCCAGAGCAGAGGGCTACTGCCCCATGCTGCTTAGTGGAGCCACTTCTGTCCTCCAGGGATTCCCAGAAATCAAAGGATGGCCAGGACACCATCTGTGCTTTCTTTAGTGCCATCTCACCCTCTTTTCCATGCCTTTTTGGCCAAGAAGCACAGCACAGGCCTCACTGCAGAGCCAGGTGAGCATATATTACTGTGTCCGGGTGCCTTAGAGGCAAACGCCTGTGGACATTGCTCTGTACATTGTTCTCCTATCACCTGGCACACTATGAATCCTACCTGGAATTCCGACATTTGCCACAGAACCTGCCTCAGCACCAGCTTTCCTGCCCAGCACTGGTGGGTTGGTCCCCACAAGCCTCCTCAGTCAGCCTGGCACGCAGACAAGGTAGGGGAACAAGAGGTGCACAACTGTGGACATCCAGGGAGTAGTGAACTCCCTTTTCCTTTGGGATCACCAACACACAAAGTCATGATGCTGCTTAAACTGTGACAGGGCAACCTGCTGTGCAGCACAGACAAAACCCATTATGTGCAAACCATGCCATAAACACCCTTCGTTCTTACAGAACACACATTAGCACCCACCTAAACCCATACCCCATAAACACATTACACCTCCTGTGTTCCTAGTAAAGCAGTTACCTGGTTTTTAAGGAGTCTTTAACACCTCACAGACATCCCAAAGCACTTCAAACCTGACAGGAAACAAGTGATTAAGCTGTTTTGAGCAAACATGAAGTCACCCTGAGGACCAAATCCTGCTCAGTGGAGCGGACAGGCTGCCCCTATAAACGGGAAGGTTCCAGCCAGCTCCCCGGCTTGCCTGGACGATTCCTTCTGTCCCACATCCAGCCGGGAAGCACTGTGTTGGCAGCATGAGAGGCACAGCGCTGGTACTGACCTGCCTGGCTCTCCTGCTCGTGGCACAGGAAGGCAAAGGGGAAAGCAACACCATGAGGCTCTGCGGGAGAGACTTTGTCAGGGCTGTCGTGTTCACCTGCGGCGGCTCGAGGTGGAAGCGGCACTTGAGTGATTATCACTACCTGCTGGGTAAGTAATCATTAAAGCATCACAGGCTGATCGCTGCTGGCTGCACCAGGCTCGGCAGTGTCCCGGGGCAGAGCTGAGCCCCCGCTCAGGTGCTGCTCCACAGCGGCAGCACTAACTGAGCTCGGAGACAGCAAGCGATGCTCCGCAACTCCACGTGTTCCCTCTCCCTGCAGCTTGTTTGGCTTAGCCTCTTGTGCTATTTTGCTAAAGAAAACCACTCAGATGAAGATTTTCCAAGCCCACCTGAAGAACAGAAGTCAAGCCAAGGCTATGACTGACAATCTCTCTGCTATCACATTTCAGATGGCAGTGACAAGCCTTGCTACAGGCAGTGCAAGTGTCTTACTGTTGTCCTCACTTTCCCCACCAGAAACGTTATTACAACCTAGGAATACTGTAATTAAAGTATGTTGGATTTGAACTCTGAAATTTAAGTACCTTCACATGCTGTTATATACATACACAGACAACATGTGTTGGTTAATGGTGGCAACTTAATGGTTGGACTTGATGATACACACTATGACACCCACTACAACACTGCCAGCTCCCTGGCTCAAGGCTGGGCTGCCTAGTAAAGATAAATAGCATAAATTACTCATGTTCCATGACTTCGAACTTTTACCTTCTCATTTCTGTGCAACAGAGAGGGAAAATCCCCAGCCTTTCCCACACCAGAACGAGGTTGATGCTGACTCCTCAACCTACACAGACCAGAGCCTGGAGACCCACAGCGAAGAAACCCACAACATCAAGACTGAGGCAGAGCCACACTCACAGCTCAGCAGCAAAATGTCTGTGCTAAAAAAGAGAGAAGCAACCAAACTGCTCACCACATCCTGCTGCAACGTGGGCTGCAGCAAGAGAGAGATCAGCTCCCTGTGCTGAAACACAGCAGCACTGCTTGAGGCTCAGTGCCACTGCTCCCAGTGATTAAAATAATCATGACATCAGCCACATTTAGTTCAGTTGTGTTCTTTAATTGCAGCTTTACTCTTTGGGGGACATTAGGGAGTAAAGTTTGAGTGTTAGATAGTGCAGTGCATACCAGCAAGTGGCTGCAGGGACAGTTCAGCTTGTCTGGATTGCACAAAGTGTTTGCAGTGGTTTAGAGTTAAACTTTTAGTCATGAGTACAAATATTTCTTCCCAACTAACTACTGCTCTAGTTTCAGCTTCACACATAACACGCAATGAAATAGGCAATTTCTGAAAGGTTTGTTGTCTTACTCAGGAAAATCCAACAGGATTCAACTGGGAATTTGCTGCATTCAAGTACCTTCCCTAGGGCACAGAAAAGTTACATTTCTGTACTCTGAATGTGGTTTCATTTAAAGACAAATTTAATTTGATTTCAAATACTGGTCATCTTTTTCCTAGCTGCAGAGGGACTTGGGACAAGGGCCTGGAAGGACAGGACACAGGGAATGGCTTCGCTTCGCCAGAGGGCAGAGCTAGATGAGATACTGGGAAGGAATTCCTCCCGGTGAGGGTGCTGAGGCACTGGCAACAGGTTGCCCAGAGCAGCTGTGGCTGTCCCATCCCTGGCAGTATGAGGGCAAATCAGGGAGAAAAAAACATTACAGGGAATGGTCTGGAAATGTATTTCCTCTACAGGGAAAGTGCTAAAAGCAAAGAGAATCCGGTACAAAATTATGTCACAGAGAGCCACTTTCCAGAGAAACCTCTGGGAAATATACTTCTTCACCAAGAGGCTCAGAGCAAGCACAATTCAAATCAGGTGAAAGTCCTTCACAACCATTTTCAGCAATAGAAACAGGCAGAGTTAGGCTGAATGTCCATTTCTCCTGCTGTTAAACTGACTAACTCCCTATTCAAAATACACAGCATAGACATTTGCAACAGCAAACAGTGAAGTGTTCTTGAAGACGTATGAGGCAAAGGTGTCGCTCACAGGGTCCCACAGGCACCTGCTGCCAATCTGCATGCTCTGCTCACCCAGCTGCCCAACGTGAGTCACCACCACCAGCTTATACCTGGGAAGCACCAGGTCCTTCACCCTTGCTTTAACCACCTGCAGGAGGAAAGCATGTTCAGTCTGTATGTGTGCAAAGATAGGGACAGAGTTTCAGCAGGGTATGTGGGGATAGAGCAAGGGGGAATAGTATTAAGCTGAGAGAGGGTAGGTTTAGATGGGATATTGGGAAGGAATTCTTCCCTGCGAGGGTGCTGAGGTCCTGGCACACATTGCACAGAGAGCTGTGGCTGCCCCAGCCCTGGAAGTGTTCAGGGCCAGGTTGGATGGGGCTTGGAGCAACCTGGGCTAGTGGAAGGTGTCCCTGATCATAACAGGGGGTGGAATGAGATGGGCTTTAAGCTCCCTTCTAAGCCAAACCATGCCTGGAAGTGTTCCAGGCCAGGATGGACAGGATTTGGAGCAGCCTGGGCTAGTGGGAGGTGTCCCTTCCCTGTGGAACTGGATAATCTTTAAGGTCCCTTCCAACTCAAACCATTAACTCATCCACACCTGCACCCACTTCAGAGCAATCCTTGGAGCACCTTAACAACCTCCTCCAGCCTTTATTTTACCCTTTACAGGCATTTGGGGGGATATTTAGGAGCTCCTTGACACCCAAGGACACTATCCACCTCCTACCTCAGCGATAT